CGCCGGTTTCACTGTCAGTTTTCAAACCTGTTAATGCGGTGCTAAAGTGAGAGAAGGGAGGGGCTGACGTTCAGGCCCTGCGTTAGGATGACACACAGGCAACGCTTCAGGACGTATGCTGCCGTAGTTCTCAAAGCACGGGTTGCACGTCTGGCCCCCTCCCTGCATCTGTCAAAGCATTCTCCACCATCTAATACGTGTTCTGCGCTGTCTTACCCTTAGAATCACCTCTTTAACTCCCCATGAAAAAAGATTCACAACTGAAGATGTCAGGTAACAGCCACTGAAATTATTTTCGATAGCCTGTACGAACCCCAGTGTTACGTTTTCAGAAATGAAAGGAAGGTTGGCCCAGTCTATTGCTCATACAGCTGCGTTACGGATAGCACTAAATAGTAATGCTCTTACCCAGTTTTATTTTCCATTAATACAGTCCCCGGTTGCTAAAAGACACCTTTCAAGAACACAAAACATTACAAATTAAGCTGAAGACTGTTAAAATCTATATTGGCTAAAACATCCTTTAGCTCCAATTTCAATGTATGAAAAATACACAGTAAACAGAATATAGACAAAAGGGAATACAAATAAATTAATATCTAGAAGAGCCAAGTACAAAACTCTCCCCAAATATATTTTATTTCATAATTAAAAACCTTAGTCTAAAAGAGAGAGAAGGAAATGTAAATAAATCGCTCCACTTCTGTCATCAACGTGGTCTATGTAACTGTTCTGTTCTTGCTTCTCAGTTAGATCAAAGTCACGCTGCACTTGAAACTGCCAGCTTTTTCAGATGGTCCATGAATACCTGGAGACTAACATCATCTGTCAAGATTGGAGCTCCCGATTCCTGCAGAAAAATAAAGAAATAATGTGCCTAAAATAGTGTTGTTGACACTGGGGAACTAACTGAAAGTAAATCAGATGTCAGCACTTTGAACTAATTGCCTACTAAATCGACCACCTTTTTTTCTGCAAAGGACAGGTCTAGTGGAAAGATGCTACTCTTAGGCAACGGCACTGACACTATCCTCTAGTGCAATTTAAACTACTGGAAAAAAAGAAAGTCTCTTCTTTCTAAAGCATTAGGAATTTTGCTGTCCAAAGCTCTACACAAACAAGGTAAAGAAAGAGGATATAAAAGTCTAGTATTCTCAGATAAATAAGATCTCTATGTACCCATATGCTAGTTAGTTCTTCCAGAATACTAAATACCTGTGACCTAAGAGTTTTAACTCATATTTGCAGGGAAGGGTGCGGAGATTTCTACAACAGGTCATCTGAAACCCGTAAGAGCATATTCTACTTCAAATTAGCTGCTGCCTTCAGTAGCAGCCACCACAGAAAACTGTCCTGGTCTGCCTGTGCCCCACAAGTAGCTGGGATACAGGAAGGGAGATCAAAGGGGCAAAGCACTCCTTGTGAGACCCCTCATCTCCTGCCATCAAGCTGCTGAGCTGTTCTGGCAGGACCTCTATTTGGACAGCCATTCCTTGAATCCATTGAGAAAAAGCCCTGAAAGTCAACTGGATTTTGCTGAAAATTTGGGGGGATTCAGTACAAGAACAGGAAGACGAGTTTAGTCATCCAGGCTTGAAAACTGTATTCTTACCATCTTGTCATCTGGTGCTCCCCACCAGTACTGTTTATCTTACTAACAACCACGGACTTGAATAAGCAGGTTGCATAAAAATCTAACCTGCCTAAGCTTCAGGCACGAACCTAACACATTGGTTGTGTCTTTTAAAATGCTACAATTATTGCAGTCTCAGCTGCTAATTCCATTATCAGATCCTTTAGTAGACAGAAATAACCTTGTTTCCTTGCACCACAAAGCACTGTAAGGTTTTCAAATCCAGTCATGTATGTCTGCAAAAAGCTCTCAGGTTAGAAACAGAGGACAAACGTAACCTGCCCATGGCGTGTGGCCGTGTGCTGAAGTAGACAAATATGGAAATGTATGTCTTACAGTATTCTCACACATGAGCATCTCTTCCATATCTTACCTGTCCCCAGGCATAGAGGTTATTGTGGGTCTGGGAAGGGTTCACTTTAGACAAGAGGAACCGGGCCTATTAAGACAAAACGTTAGAGAAGCAGTTATGTAAAATGACAGACCTGTCTACTCCCTCACAACTTCTTACTGCCTTAAATATATGACTAGTGATGTTCCTCTGCTTTTGCAAGCAAGGTACTAATTTAACTTGAAGAGGTTTCTGGTCCAGAAACAGCCCTGCTCCACAGACAACTTGTCTCCAAGGGGACAAGCTGCCCTGCCTCACCTGGCAGGGCAGCTCTGCTTCCACGTGACACTGCACGTCGCCAGCACAAAAAGAGGTCAATGGAGAACCAGCGTAACATGGTCACATCAGAAATTAATACCAAATCTTTGTTTAGGAGCATCAATTCCAGCCTCTTCGCTGCTACAAACAAGCCAGACACAGACAAGCAGTGCACAACTGCAATTCCAGGAAGAGCAAAAATAGGAACTATTTTATATCCTCATTCAGCATCCGAGAATAAAGGAACAGATGGTCAATCAGTCAGCGTAACTTACTGTCCTAGCAAGCTAACTGCGCTCCCTGTCTTCATAAGTTCAGATACGTAGCCAAATCATTTATTTCCCACCTCTTTGGGGAATAAAAAGATAATTAAACTGGCTTTTTCAGCATTTTTTCCATCCTCAGATTTCAAAAGCATATCCAGTAAGTGATTGACTTACCAAAAGACAGTGTTGTAGCAAGAGCTCGTGACAAAATATGCAAGCTCTATACTTTCAAGAGCTACATTACCACTGTATTTCACTTACAGAATCATCCTTGTAATAAAGCAGAAAAAGACAGCTATTTGCTCTATTCAACAACACTGTTCCTTGATAAACTTCCTTACCTGACTGCCTCCGTGTTCAGTGTGGATGTAACGCGGCATCGGGAATCTAGTCTGCAAGATTTCCTGGGCGTCATCCAGCGGCGCTTGCAGTAGGTGCTTGAAGTTTTCGTATTCAGGCATGTCTTGGTAACCAGCTTTCTGCCACTGTGCAATAGTCTATTGATGGGAAAGGGAAGAAATGAAAAAATAAGAGAGATGTCTGCAAGCCTCCCCTCGTCTTAGGGCAGCAGAACGTTACAGCGCTTCTGCTTACAGAGCACAAGACAAATGCACGCTTTCACTACTCTTATTTAGTGTGTGTCTGTCTGTTCCTGAATTTAAGAACAGGGACTCAACACAAAAGCTGGTAGCAGTTCGTGCAGTGCAAAATCAATCTGTTGAAAGTGATCTTCAATCCTGTATGTGTCAGCCTGCGCCAACACAGAAACACAAAGCATTTAGAAATCACTGACATTCTCAATCTGACTTGGTCTTAAATGAAGCAGCCATTGCCTTACAGTATTTTCAAGGTACCTAACCATATGTACCTACCAATTGTTCTATACACATGCAGGTCATACACTTGGCCCTTCCTTTGTCTAAATTTTACCGAGTTGCTGAGTATCTTGCTCTGCAACAGTAGGTAGAAATTGTTTAAGTTAACAATGACAATACATCTTCCAGAATTAACTCAAGCGTTCTACTCCTGTTCACATCAATCAGGTATCCCTGCTCACTTCTCAAAGGGAACAAATCCTATGTGGAGTCAAGTTGGGAGATAATAATGGAGGTGCTGCAAACTATCATGCCAAACTTCAAGTATTCTAAGAACAGTCATTAAATATCAGTGAAGTAGCTTAGTTCAGAAACAAAGGGAAGAGTTAAAATGCCTCCCAAAAAGTTTTCACTAATAGGAATGTTTGACCATAAACCAAGATGAGTTTATTTAAACTACTCCAATGTAATGCCATGTTTAGGTCAAAGAAACTGGATGAGGTCCAGTCCCCAAGGAGCACTATAAAGGCTATGAGGGGAAAAAGAAGAGATTTCCAGAGAAAGAAGTGGAAAGCCAGCTTCCTCTGCATCCCTTACCCCATAACTGCTTCAGGATGTGAGACATTCCAACTCTGCAGCTACAGTAGCATACTGGTCTTTTACAAAACCTGACAAGATTGAAATACAGATCTGCAGGTCTGCACACTGAAGAGGCACTAGAAAGCCAAGGGCCAAGGCTTTGGATATTGGTATAAATCTGGATGTTTAGAAAGGGCCAGTATCTAAGCACTTACCTCAGTCATGATGGAAGGAATATAGGAGCAGCTGTCAAAGCATCCAGTATTTAAAAGCAAAAACTGGAAAAATTCATAACTGATTTAAGAGCAGCAGTATTTAAGTGTCAAAGCCAGGAACCAAGTATGTCATGTATCTGACAAATCAAACGGTAGCTCTCTGCTCTGCTTTCAAGTTTCTCTGGCCTTTTCCAGGCGTGGTAAGGGGCCACCTTCATTACCAAGCTAATATGACAGCAGTTACTCAATGCAGAACACATCCTTAGTGACTCCAACAGGATTTTTTTGTTAACTTGGACTGTGATACAATTGTATTACAACTGGCAGCACGTGTACGATGTCATTATGCTAGTGTAGGCTTTGCAAGCAGCTCTTTTCATACTAACAGTGACAGCATCTGCATGCATGGCAGGAGGGAATGAGTGCAGAGAAAGACAACGTATTTCACTGTACCTCACCAAGGTAGATAACTATCTGGAAGAAAGTATCCATCAGTAGGATTCTGTCAGGAAGAATACTGCTGCTGTCCAAAAGCACTGGCTGGGGAAAATAAAGAAGAAAGTCAGTTGCCACTAAGCCCTCAGAACCGTATTCACCTTCGTGTTGGTCAAACAGCTTGCTCGGCCCTGCCCGTATAGGCGCAACTCCACCAACGGCTGCTCAGTCCACGTGAACACCTTGCAGAGCGCGGTCAGCTTCCTGCAGCATCACTGAATGGAGCGGCAGGTTATCAGCTACTGTATGAAATGCAGGATGTGAGAAGCAATTTCTACAGCTATCCAAGTTTAGCCTGCAGCTTCTGCATTTCTTTCCTGCCAGATGCACTCCATTCAAGGAAGCTGTCAGTATAAGGGAATCTGTGTCTGTCCATTGAATACTTGCACATAGTTAAACACTGCTGCACAAACAACTGAAAACGAGCAGCTGGTGAGAGATTATGACCTGGAAGGGCTGAGGCTTGCTGACTTACGCAGTGGAGGTGGCAGCCTCTGGCAGAGAAGCAAAAGTGCTACTGACAGCTGCAAGATTCACTGGATGTTGGGGTTGGGGGTTGTGGCTTTCCTGGTGGGATTGGGAGGGGGGGAGGTGTTGTGTTTTGTTATTTTCAATCAAAGCTGTAAGTTTAATGAAAACACAGTTCGTATTTTCCATTGTCCCATCTCATCTTTTAATAATTACCTCAATTTTTAAAAAAATTATATAGGGGCCTTTTCGCTGAAATAGTGTTACTCTGAGTGCTCATTATTTTGGATTGATCCACCTCTTCCTATTAAACAGGCACTCACCTCAGGAGGTCCATGGAAAGAATAAGCATAAAGGATGGGCTGGATCATAATGAGAGACTGGGTCAGATCTTGCCTAGCAAAGTGGTGACGGTAATAAGAAGATTCATCTGGGCTGTTATTGAAGACCTGCAGGAACGGGGAGCGTCGCAGATGGAACATGAACTGCACCAGAAAGATGAGTGAGAATAGAAATGTCAGCAACTTGCCAAAACTTCTGCACACAAGTCCAATCTTTATGAACAGCAAATTCTTTGGGAAAAAAGTTTACCCCTTATTAACTCCTCAGAGTTCTTCCCTTATCAGTCATTTGCAGCACTGAACTACAAGACCAGCCCACCAAATTAAAAAGCATCTGTTCCTTCCCTCTTGAATCTGATAAATGATATAAGATGTTTTATCATCACTCTCACTCACCCTTGCACACTTTTCCCACAGCTGTGGGAAGTGAAGTTCTTACCTGGGGATACAAAGAAAATGATTCTGACAATCTGAAGGAGTTGGGATCATCTTTGTTGTATTGTCCAAATTTCTGACACTGTTGGAAACAAAATGGATACTTTGGTTATCTCTATTTTTTCCTTTTTTTTTTTTTAATAGAATTAACACTTTTTTTTTTTTTTTGGAAGGGTGTTCTTTTGGTTGTTTTTAAACAGAACAACCAAGGCATGAAAGTGACAGTAACAAGTAATAAAAAATTTACAGGCTGTTTTTCTTTAAGTCAGTGGTTTCTGTATCTTACTGGAATGAGAATGATTGTTATTTATTTATCTATTT